CGGTATTATTCTGGTTCATCCACAACTTCTTTAACGAGTACTACGAGGTCTGACGATGTGAGTAGGTTTTATGGAGTTTACAGTCCATTTAATGATTCATTCCACCATTCCGTTATATTTTGTCGTTTTCATATCAATATCCCAAATGTGCATGCTCACGTTTTGTATTGACCATAACATCTCAGATAGCATTTTCTCCCGGCGCATCCCAGAAAGTGGGGTAGTTATCTGTATTCTTTCGAAAAGTATCCGCAGGGCACCTGAAGTCTTTCCCAGAGTTTTGGCCCGAAATCAATGCTAGCTGGGTATTATGACTACATCAAACTGAAGAAACTAGTGTACAACAGTGTACAAAATTTATGTGCAGCTATTGATTTGATAACCAGTCCCAGGATCTGATAAGGTATAGTGAGTGATGCATTCTGCCACGAAGTATATCGCCATTAACTTTTCACACCCATAGTGTGTGCAGTAATTTCCTGCATCAGGAATCAGTCCCTGGTATCCAGAATGTTTGACTGTTACTGTGTGGTGCAGTATAACTTTTGTTCTACTTGGAAGTAGCTCATATCGGTTGTGCGAGGTGCACCCAAAACAAAATATAAAGGATTGAGATGCACATAGAACTGCTTTTAACGTGGTGTGCTAGCGTATTTTTTAAGAAACTAAATTTTCTTCATAAGATGCTACAAATAGGTGGAAAGTTACTAAGTTTACAGTTCCAATGTCACGGGACGGTTATTACTTCCACTGGCCTTTTGGTAGTAAAAGGTGCAACTGTAACATGCGTATCAACACACGTAATTGGGCCCCCAGCTTTTGATGTTTATACTCCCTTTTATTTCTCCTAGTACCGCCGTCCTGTCGAATGTGTGGTGATGCTGAAGGACTGGTCCACATGCACTCCCGTTCTATAGGTAGGAAGTGAAATGATTGGGCGTATCGCGTACTTCACTTATTCGGGAAGTTGTATCAGCCCTAAAGCACTGATTACTGACGAAATCTCAACGTACATGCAAAAGACTTGGTTGGCGCTTGCCAGCTTACGTCATCTCTGGCTGTAATATGATATCCGAATGTCGATTAAAGGAAGCATGTACTGCGCAGCAGTTCGTCCTGTCCTTTTTAATGATTGTAATACTTGACCATTGAAGGTGGGAGATATGGAAAGCGTAGTTGTCTCTGACCACAGATGTTTGCATTCTCCTGTGTTAAGTTTTACAGTGTGGTAAACAATATTTAGGTAAGGTAAGGAAGGAAAGTCAGTCGATGATGTTGTGATGACGAATCAATTGAGATCGCTAGGATACGTCCTATGCATGCTCAGCTATCTTTGTCGTCAAGCAATGCTAGCCGACAAAGGATTAAGTAAGAAAAGTTATGGGTGATCAAACCAAAGCCTAAAATTAAATCATGAAGCTTCTAACAGTTGGTTTGAGCAATACAGGGAAATGTAGATTGCCTGGTCAGTCCTCGAGACGCTAAGAATAGATGACTGGAGGCTACTGGTGATATGGCTCAAAATCGTTCTCAGTGGCTCAGATACTCTCCTTGTAGTCTGCATGGTCCATTGAATCCTGATGTTTCTCCATGTTACTATTCTCTCTCCCATACCTTTCTGCTTACTATAGTCCTTTTAAACTTTTTTCCTCTTTTGTGTGGTATGTTTGGCAACTATAACTGTTGTATTTCTGCGAAAAGTTCTGTGTTCACACTTAGTCATTCCGATAAGTATTCTTCCTCTAAAAGGCCGTTTCACATTCTTTGCAGGTGTTTACGGCTTTATTTAAGTGTTGTCTTAAGGCTGCATCTATGGGAAAGTCGGGCGAAGGTTACCTAGATAGTGTCTCATAACCTCGGTTTTTAACGTACGTCCTTGATAAGCCGAAAGACAGTTACCAGTTTTGTCTCTGGCTTTCCTACTCTCCATTAATTAAGATTGCCTCATACTCTGATTCAGTGAACATCTAAGCTGTCTCATCCCTTCGTTTGCTTATAGGAGCTACCGTGATACGCAAACTAATATTTTTGATATTCAGCTGACGCCAACTATTTCAGACAAGGATAGTCGGTGGTTGTCCTCATAGTTTCCTTCTAAATACTGCCCCTATGTCACGATCATCCACATAACTTTGTTTTACAATTGCTGACACAGTCATATCCCGTCCAATGCGTGGTGACAATTTGAGCACGTGTTTCATAAGAATTAACGGACGACAGACTCATTATAAATATTGTTTACATGGTATATCGCTCGGTTAGTTGAACTCGATGTCTTCCTCTGTTATAAATCTATGCTAGTTAAGAATAAGCAGTTATAAGTGCACTTGTAGCAAGAGATCACAATTATGAGTGTATTGAACGTGAATTTGTAAGATACAAACCTGTCTACTCGTACGTTAATGTTGTCTGATGTAAAAAAAACAAACGGAACTATTCCTTACAAACCAATCATAGAAAATTAATCTGATGCTCGTTAGTGACTTGCTACAGGATGGAGTTTCCTGGAGATCTAGTGAGAAGTCGTGACCAGTGAGGTCCATCCAGTCACGTGTGAGGATGGATGTCCCACCAACGACATTGGTTGGGGTCGCGCTAAATCACGAATTGGTAGAACAGGCCATTGAATCGGGTCCCAGTGGTTGAATGGTATACGAGCTTGCCTTGTAAACGGAACGTCCTGGGTTCGAACCCCAGTGGGTGCGTACTGTCGATGATTCCCAAACTAGGACGAAACAGCCGTCCAGTACTACCTGGTTTTCAATGGTTCTCTAACTGATATCAATTCGTGATCAACTCGTAAGAAACAAAACTAATCCCTACAAACCAACCATGTAAATGTATATATATATATATATGCTTCCTATTGCCCAGTCTCTGGTCAGCTGATGTTTATAAGTTATTCTTAGTTCTTACGGTTATTGATTTTCCATTGTTACATGAGTTTTGGTTGCTTGTGATTACATTCTTGATATTGTCTTAACAAAGTCCGTACTGTGTATACTGTTCTATAGTAGTCGTGGTACTGGTTGGGGTGGGGATGAGAAGCCAACTGATGGTGTATGTGTGATGTGAGGCTGTATGAGGTAGGATGAATGTGCTGCGTTTATGCTTGTTAGTGGATTGTGGCTGAGTTACGGAATGGGTGATTCCAAGAATTGATTGTTGTAATCCTGAGAGTCCCACCTAGTTGGGCGATTCCTCTGTGCATGGCTGAAATGGGCTGTTTTCGTGGATTGGTGTTGTGTTTTGTTGTGACTACTCCTAAGTCTATGGGCTAATCTCATTTCAGCTAATACTACCTCGAGGAAGGTGGTGGTTTAACATGCGTGGTACGTGTCCTAGCCATCTTGATCGGTGTAGCTGCAAAAACTGACTGATCATATTTTCCTACTTATCTACTGGTTTATGTCTGACTTGATTGTTACTAACCATACCGCCTCACATAAGGTGAGGAAATGAAGGTAACCACCTAAAGTAAATAACATGATATTTTCATGTCTTCCGTTTCAAAGGCCATAGTCTCCATCTGAAGGTTAGGACATACCGAACGGCCACGTAGTGCACTCGTGCTTTACTGGGTAACTGGAAGTCACGCATCCACCAAAGGTGACATTTTTTTTTCCTTCACGTCCCCCAGTGGAACATAGGGCCTCAAGCTAGTGGCTTGAAGTTTCTGTAGCAGTGTTTATTATTTTACAGGATGGGGTTGCTAGCCGCATGCCCAACATTTCCTCTTCACCAGCATTATTTCTAGCTTAGCGAGGTAAAGGAGTGCGTCGACGGGGGTTTGAACCCCGGACCATGTGCATGGTCGGCGACAATTTGGCAAATACTAAACAAACCTTTGTGATTATCCTATCCAAGTGGGCTGACAAAATATGCGCAGTTGAAGCAGTGAGCATATTTTACCATTTTATTGTCTAATCCTAGATGAGTTGGTTTAGACCAATCTAGTACCACGATTTTACACTTGATATTGATTAATTGATATTAATTGATATTCAAATTTTTACTGTGTTTTTAAAAGATATCTTGCTGGCGTCTACACGTAGAAGGACTGAATCATATGCGTACTGTAAATATATAGTACCTTTCCTTGAAAGAGACATCAAATGTAGTTCTAATTTGAGACCAGTGACTATCGTGCTGTACTCTTTTTATTTTTATCATCGAAGTAGTACGAAGTGATGGACATTCCTTTAAATGTTTCCTGGAATGGTTGGTTGTTTCTGTTTTTTTGTAGATTTTTATTTGTTTATCCTGTATTTCTACTTTTGTTTTGTGTTGTCCATTTGTGATGATGTACAAGGTGTATGTTTATATAAGTGTTAACACTTTTTTGTGAGTTAACTTTCAAACACAACAACGAAAATATCCTTACCTTCTGGTGACTTTATATTTTCCAAAGTAAGAATACTTCTGAAACTTTAGTACGTCATTCTTGTGTTTCGTTTTTCTTATGGTTTTAAGGCATGTACTCAAGTAAGTTGTGCTCGGTAACATTTTTCTAGTAATTCAAAAATTCCCATCTACATATTGAATAAGAACAGCATATTGAGTGAAGCATGTTCCTTCTCAGTTGGTTTCTCATCAACGTTTGTACGCTAATATATAGTTATACATTAAAATTATTACATCAATCGTGCAATAATTGTGGAAGTGGTTTTGAATTCTCTAATTATTTTTACCCCTCCTGAACCTCAAAAGTTATTATTTTTATTGATCGGTATAACTTTTATGTGTAACATTTTTAATCGGAGTAAAATGCCACCTACTTTTTGTGTATGTAGACTTCATCGTTAGATTATTGACAAATTTTAGACAGTATTCGATGTATAAAAACATAAAGATTCATCAAGTATAATCATAGGTTTTATACCGTGTCACTTAACTTTTAAACCAAAGCAGTCTGAATTTATAGTGTTGTTTTTGAATTTCGGAGGTTATCGTGTACCAACAGAACAACAAGTATGTCTATTTAATTTTTTACCAACTAATTTATAGTATAATTACTAATTTGTCTAGGTATCTTTCAGAGAATATATTTGTCATCACTTGTTGCGAAGCTAAGTATCTCTGTGGTATATTTTCTGTGTAGAATGATTAGTAGTATCCTCAAGCAGACAAACATATGTGCTGTTCACAATTTATGAATTGAGTGAGAACAAATCCTTTACGAGGCCACTTTACTTCAGTTTTTAAAATTTCAATGTCAATAACTCTGTTTACAATCATACTTAAGATGCTAATTTGGTCAGTTTATATGTACTAGGTCATGCAAAACACATGAATAAGAATTGATAATACTACCCAGTTGTTCAGTCTGAAGCAGTAGGAGCGGGTTTCGAACTCTGGACTCACTGACTGAAAGTGGTACTGTAGCCAATGAGCATCATCTACTAAATGTGGAAGTAAATCAAATTAATAAATTACAATTCAGCGCCTGAGATGTGTCTAATTGTAGACAATATGGTGTATGTTATGATTGACTTACTGCATTTGCACACCTTACATCACCAATCTCTATCTTGCTTGCGTGTCTAACACATTGATGTGTCATAAAACTCTTCCAGTTGTAACCAATCGGTTTGTAGTTATACACTTGTGAATATTAATGAGGTTAAATTATTCACCTTGTTGCATACTAAGTATTCAGATTTGTTTTCACTACTTTTCTCATGTTTCGGCAATCAACAGATAACAGTTCAGGTGTTTCTCTGTCAAGTGTTCAATCGAGAACATCCACACTAACTAGTCACTCAAATAAGAAAAACAAATTACCTTATCGTATTTTCGGTAGTGTTCAAAAATGGGCTTTTAAATCTTCCAGTCAAAAAACGTCTCATACATCAAGTATTTCTTCACTAAATTCATCTCGATTATTAAATGATGACGACTTGAATCAGACCTGTGATTTAGCATCTTTCACTATATCTGAGCGCGGAGAAAGCATTGTATCTGAAGTCATTCGTAACAGAAAAGAACTGGAATCGTTGGTTTGTACCCATTCTGATATGCGCAGTCAGGAAGAAGCATCTCTAGATGCAGGTATTATTGTACTTATGCATTACACTCAGGTGTTGTTCATTGTTATATATCTGCTTTAGAAATGGCGGAGTTGGAAATGCGTAGTCATGCCCCTGTAGATCCTAGTTCAAAATCACAAATGGGACAGGTTAATCATTCGAAAAACAGTTTAGGTCGTATACTAAGTGTTCGTAATCCATATAGGAGAATGCGATTACTGAGCAATGTGCCCTGTGTTTTGATGGCCAATAAAAATATGTTGAATTCGGTAAGATTTTTCGAATTACTTCTGTAAACTTTTAATGCAGCATAACTATTTTAATGACGACTGAAGTTCTCTTTTTTTTCTTAGCAGAATATTGAAGAAGATGCAAGGCTTGGATTTGCCAATTTACCTGAACAAATGCATAGAAAAGCTGTTAAAAAGGGTTTTAATTTTACGCTAATGGTCGTCGGTAAGTTCATCCAGTATATCTCTGATTCATGTTATGTTGCAAATAGTTCTTACAAAGTTTACAAGTGTATAGTAAGGTTTGCTCATGTTAATTTAAGATATTTATTCTTTGTATTTTGTACAAAAAAATTGTTTGCACTAGCAACTATTGTAATTCTGAATTATATTCAAGCGGTTTCAAGTTTCGAAAGTCGTTTGCGTAGTGATCTCTTCAGTATACACCTGAAAAGAATGAAACTTGACACAGTTTTATTTCATGTATATGATCTGTGATTTTTATCGTATTATTTATAGGATGGAATAGTGTGAGAAATCACACCTTACTCTCAAAATTTCTCAAGTTCTTGTATGCTAATATGACACTGTAACTTTCGGGGCACAGTGAAAAGTCGTCAATTTGAAAACTAATTCGAACGCATAACTCAGTACTAGAATTCATTACGATTATCTCAAGAAATGACCTTTTTGTTTAGGTATTTTAAGGAAATGTTCTAAATCTGTAAACAATCAGATAACGACATCCTATTGATTTTGGTTATTTGTCTGACAATTGAAAAATATAAAACAAAATAACACTGCAAGAAACACTTTTATTGCACATGATTACACTGTATGTCTGATACGAATTACGTAAGTCTTAGTGTGTAACACTTGGCTAACTAAATGGCACAGAATCAAACGCTTTAGTGCAGTAATTTAAGTTAAAGTACATGAAAATGCATTTGGTTTTTTAAGTTATATCTTTATCTTCCCAAAATAGTAGCACCTACAGGAACATTTGTTCCAGTTAATATAGCCTGTCGGAACATTAAGTACACAAAACTGACCACGTCAAGATGGCGTCCATTATTGTGGCAGTCTTCTAGTGGTTTCGTTGTTTCGTTTTTCTAATTGTATGCTCACTTTTGCTTAGTTGTGCAACTTGAACTGATTAGTTTTGCTTCAAAATAATTTTGACCATTACTTGTGTCTGAGGAGAAGTAATATATTATGACAGCTTATTGCCATCAATATGGTCATGTAGTTACTTTGTAAATGTTATGCAATTTTCAGGTGAAAGTGGTCTTGGCAAATCAACGCTGATTAATAGCTTATTTGTTCAAGATTTATACAAAGATAGAGAGATCATTGAAGCGAACAGTCGTATTCAAAGAACAACTCAGATTGAAAAGCGTCAGATCGAATTGGATGAACGTGGTGTCAAATTACGTCTCACAGTTGTGGATACTCCTGGTTTTGGAGATGCTGTAAATCGCACTGACTGGTTAGTTTGTCATCTCTGTACTTAAAATCTCAATATCATACTGTAATATAATGTTAATTTTTGATTGAATTTTCTTTGTCGTGAACATTTTATTATAACTGTGTAAATCGTTTACATTATAACCACATGTCCCTTCATCCAAGTAATCGCACAACAGAATATTTTGTGCTTTTTACTTTCATTTGCAATAAACATTCAAAGAGTCACCTATAGTATTCATTCCCATTATCTGACTGACTTTCCAACGTAGAACATTTCACAAAAAGACAGCAGTTTGAGTTACCACATTTCAAAAATTATACATAAAGGTAGAGGAGAAAACAGATACAAATAAACGATAATAAAGGTAAATTTGCGTTAGAATAGATAATTACTGGTAGGACAATGAGTTTTTGATGAATTTAGGAAATCACAAAGAGTGAATTCATCTGCACCACGGAGAAGAGTTTTGACCCATGTTAGCAACACTCTCAAAGTTATTTGTTCTTACCATCTCAGAGACACCAGTCAGACAATCTGCATCCCCCAACATGGTTCAAATCAAACTTCATGAATTGGTGCCAGATTTTGGTTTTACCACCCCTAACTGTTTTCCAGCCTAATCCTATGTAAGCTAACATTATCCGACGAGGAAGGCAATGGCTTGGTATTCATAACTCGTGTCTTAATCATCTCAATCAATGCAGCTTCACAACCTTACCCTATTATTACTGACTATATTGTATCGTCTATGATAAGGGGTGGGAGGTAGACACATCTTTAGTCGAGGGCGGCTAATTTCTTCATTTTCAATGGCCATCTGTTACCTGTACACACGTTTTTTAGTAGGTAACCGAATATCACGTTCACATTAAAGATGATGCCAGTTGAAAAATGCCAACCGAGCCTTTCGCATCTGTGCTGGGATTTTATATGAGCTCATTCCATTAGGGTTTATGCAACTTCCTCGATAAGTAAAGTGATCGGCACTTTTAACCATTTAACTCCTTATCTTTAAAATAGTACTCAGTGCAAACTAGTACTGCAATATCATATTGCGTTTGACACACGGGCGGGGGGATCACATGCTACATATACTGAGGTTTCTAATCAAGGTGTTCAGAAGACTGCATTTTGTCAGCTTTTTCGTCTAGAAAAACCATATCATCAGCGTACCCTAAATCAACAATCTTTAATTCGCCGAAGTCAATCAGGGTCATATCAATTACTACATTTATGATGAAATTAAATAAAAATGGCGACATTGGGTAACCACTAGTTTTAGTCACTTCAGACAACAACTCTCCACAAGCTCTTACACCGCTACGTGATTTCGAGTAGAGTGCTTTGATTAATGTAATATACTTTCTTGACACATCCTTCACTTTCAAATATTGTCACAGTACGTCTCGATCGACAAAGTTTAGTGCCACTGTCAGGTCAAGTAATATGGCAGGTGTTGGACGCCGGTAAATATACCTACGTTACAGGATTTTTCGAAGGGTGTATATATTATTAATACGCCCATTTTCGAGTATAATGCCTACTTGGTTTTCATAGGTTTGTTCCTCCTGATTACCTCGTAGTTTACACAGGATTACTGGATATAGAATTTCAGTTACTATATTAACAAATCTGGCCCCTCTATGCTTGTCACAGGAAGATTTGCTATCTCTTTTATTAACTTATCCTCGGTAACATAAAAAAGAATTGCATTCTAAATACATCTTCCTTTTGGTGTTGATTCATTTAATATTGTTATGAAATGAAATTCAATCTTTTTTAAAGACGGCACTTGGCAATTGATGCTTTAGTCACACAGCTCTAGTTTTTGGACGCCGCTTGACATTATATGCAAAGAAATGTGGCTCATTGGCTTGAGAACTCAACTTTCAGCCAGTAGGTTCCAGGTTAGCATCCTGCTCCACCTACTTCAGCCTGGTCAACTAGATAGTATCATCAGCCTTCACACAGTGTGTTGAAAAACAGCAAGTCATTTTTTCTTCATGGTATGGTCTTACTTGGAAAGACTTTCAATGTCTGAAGAGTATTGAAGCAATTTCATCATGAAATGACATCGGTTAGAGGACCATTGGAAAACCTGGGAGTACTGGACAGCTGTTTCGTCCTAGGTTAGGACTATTCAGCAGTACGCACCCACCGCCAGGGTTCTAACCCAGGACCTTCTGGTTACAGGGCGAGCTGGTAGACTATTAAGCCACTGAGACCCGATCCAATGGCCCATGAATTGCAACTTTTGCCAATTCACGACATAGCGTGACCACTAACCAATGTCTTCGGCGAGTACTTGTCCTCACACTCGACCTGCTGTACCCCACTGGTCACGACTTCCAATGATCCTCTAACTGATGTCAGTTCATGATTAAATCTTGAAACCAATCAAATCCCTGCAAACGAACACTTAAGTATTGCAGTGGCTGTAAGACTTAAAGGTCCTGGACCTGGTCTCGTACGAGATTGTTGACTAGTGACTAGTGAGGGGTCCCATCATGGAATCAAACGGCTCTGCCATCTCCTTTTGGTCTCGTTAGTTCCCCGGCTGATATCAGTTAGTGTTGCAATCTTGATCTATAACAGATTGTTAGAACATTTTATCTTTTTGAAGAAATAGTATGCGTGTATAAATCCTTAACACTTAAACCCTTTGGTTCGTTTGTCCAAATTTTGCAATGTGAAATTCCCTGTACCGCTGGGCTGCGTATCTAGCTTTTACATAATAGTATGTCTCTTGGTAGGATACAAAAGCATATGGGTTTTTCGAATTAGGTCGTACTGCTTTTTTATTGTTTAGTCTGATTTTTAACTAAAATGCTACAAATTAAGGACTATTGTTTCAATTTAAGTGTTTTTCACTTTCGAATTTTTATATTTTCACAGTTGGAAACCAATAGAGGATTACATAGATAGCACTTTTGAACAATATTTCAAGGATGAATGTGGCTTGAATCGTAAAAATATTCACGATCATCGTGTTCACTGTTGTCTTTATTTCATCTCACCTTATGGTCATGGGTAAGTTATGTCCCTTATTTACTGACTTATTTTCACTGTATTATTTAAGTTATCAAGTTATTGTTTTTACTGTGTGAGTATCTTAGCTGATATAATTTGAAGTTAGGTTTGATTAGACCTTTGCATCTACTCATTCCGTTTCTAATTTCTTACTGTTGACTGTTGCATTTTTAATTCTGTCTCAATCTTCTATGATTATTGTTGTGATTCTCTCCCGTTATTTCATGTTATTTTTATTTTGAAACTAACACAAGTAGCTGATATATTACTATGCGTACATAAATTCCTAGTCAAAGTGTGAGTCAGACTTGGTTTGCATCTATGATCACCCCAGTTAACAAAATATCGTTTTGTCTTTATATGAAAGATATTTATTATTATTATTATTGTATCCTATAATTCCTAGAGGAACATAGAGCTTCAGCCGTGCGTCTCCATTGCGTTCGGTTCTCTGCTAGAGTCTTCACCTGGCTCCATGTCTGCCCACACGTTTTCATCTCCTCTTCACATGACCTCCTCCAAGTCACCCTTGCACTGACGACCAACTCGCCGCTTCCCTTTCGTCCGGCTTCCACTCGAGCAATGGCTTGTCTAGTGATGTCACTTGATGGTTTCCTCAGAGTATGGCCAATCCATCTTCATTTCTTCCTGCCTATTTGTTTCACAATCGGTTCCTGTTGGGTTGGTTCGCTCATTGCCAGAGATCTCTGTTGCTGATCTTTTCTGGCCGGCCATCTGATCTTGAGTATTGAGCGAAGACAACTGTTAATGAAGGTGTGTAGTTTGTTTGAGATGCTATTTATGACGCGCAGTGCAAGTCTCTGATCCGTATAGTAGCAGTGACTTCACATTGGAGTTGAAAATCCGGATCTTATTTTTGATGCTGAGTGCTGTCGACCTCCACACAGACTTGAGAATAGTGAAAGCTTGTCTCGCTTTTCCGATTCTTGCTTTGATATCCTCGTCAGTTGCGCCTGTAGTTGAAACGATGCTTCCCAGTTACGTAAAAGAGGTTGTTTCTTTCAGGTTCCTCCCATTTATGCTGATCGTTGTCTGTTGTTGTTGTTCTTGTCCAGGAATCTTCATCACCTCTGTTTTCCCTATGTTCACCTGAAGTCCTATCTTTGATGCTATTTCTGCTAACTTGTTGCTTTTCGCTTGCATATCTTCCAGTTTGTGGGAAATCAGACATATATCATCGGCGAAGTCCAGATCCTCCAAGTTCTTTGTGTGAGTCTATTTTATGCCTGTTTCCTCATTGCCCACTGTTTGTCGCATTATGCAGTCTACTGCAATCAAGAAAATCATTGGCGATAGTAGGCAGCCTTGTCTTACTCCTGTCCTCACTTCGAAGGGTTCCGTAAGTTTCCCGTTGTGGATTACTTGGCATGCAGCGTTGTCGATATTGAAAGATATTTGACCAACATATTTTGTAAAATACTGTGTTATATAATAACCACAGTGTCCAGGAGTGGCAAATTCAACAAAAATAGGCTTCTTTCTGGCCTAGGGCTGAGCGCATCTCCCTGATATTAACTTAAAATCGTGTAATGGAAAACTAACAAGAAATATGCTCAGTACTGTACTAAGCATATTTCTTGACTTGTTGACACCATATTGCAGTGAAAGGGAAGAATTTCTGACAAGTAGATTGTTACTTGACATTACCTTCTCAGAACCTTGCTCTGATTTTGAAAAGGTGCATTAAACTATCTTATAAGTTTTTCATTTTCCCCCCCACCTGTTGGAGATTTGAATTGTGTTTTCTATTGTATCGTAAGCATACTTTTTAAAGTCATGCTTTTATATGACTTTGTAAAGTGGTTTTCCCCTCCGTAAGTTTCTTACTCAGCTTAAAATGTATGTATAATATAATCTTGTGACTAATTGTACTAACTATTTGGAGATGTTTTGGATCATCTTGTAACATCCAAGGTGTCACTTGTTGTCTCAAGTCTGCTCCTGTGTAGATATTACATCTATCAATAGCGGTGCGGGGTGGGGGAGAAAACATCTTTTGCTCACTGAATTCTTGCATTACATGGTAGCTCATATCACCTGTGGGGTGTGCTTTTGTCCAAGCGAATTTTGGAAGGACTATGAAAAGCTCTATCAACTTTTGCCAATTTACACCATATAATAATAATAATAGCTTTATTCCAAACAGTATTTGTGGTACAGGTATGGAATCTTCAGCGTGCATTACAATATTGCATCTAATTACCTCATAAATTTCATAAGATTTTAAAAATAAAAAGCCACAACAACAAAAAGAAAAAAAGAAAAATAAAAGAAATAAAAAAGAACAGCATTGCATTCACATTTTAAACAATGCGCCACAGGATGTAAAATATAAAATTAGTGTGTAATAGAATATGTGAGCAACAATATAATAGTAACAAAGAAAGGAGAACTAAAGCTAATGGGAACTATTTGTTAGAGTGCCGCAGTAAGGTGATCGTGTCATGCCTAACAATTTTCTCATCACATAACAGCTGTACCAGATAAGGTATTGTGGAGTTTTTGTGCTTGGTAGTCCTGGCATATAGCCTCCTATAGTTGCTTCTAGTTCTACCAGATGAAATGCAAGGAGAGAGCTGCGTATAGAGAGGATGCTCGGGGTCTGACAATATAGTATTCGCTAGTTTCTTACATGACATTATATGTCTATCCACAATGGTGTTAACCAGTTGGTTTAACGAAATCCCACTTGACCTACTAACAGTTTTTAGTGCCCTACGCAGCAAAGCAAAATCTTTCTTAAGTAGTCCAGGAAATATTAATGGGGAGCAGTAAAGAGGGATGGTTAGAATACAAGATTTGACAAACTGAGAAAGCAAAGACTGCTTTATACCAGACTGCCTTAACTTCCTAACGTAGAACGTTAAGCGAAACATCTTTCTAGTGACTAGCAAGATGTGAGAGGACCAGGAAAGATCGGAGGAAATACTCAGTCCAAGGCACTTGACATTAGATGTAGTTTCAACCTCTATGCCGTCAATGATAGTGGGACCATGTGAGCTAGCTAGTTGTTGTAGGTCACGTTTTCGTCTGAAAGTGAAATTGACTACCTGACATTTAGACGGATTCAGCTTAAGACCATTTGAAGAGGACCACTGACTAATTTCCAACAGAAAGTTATTTAATTTGAAACAAAAAGTAATAAGCATAGCCAGTTGGTAATACTATGAAGCTTACACTACTGGAGGAGTGTATTAGTTGTTCATCAAGAAGTAACCAGTGTCGTGTCTAGACCTTAGTGTTGGTTCAGATTGATTGATTGATTGATTCGGGTAACACTGAATAAGTATATTGTAGTCATTCACCAAGACTTCGTGTTTAGCAAGCCTACATTTATTAAAGATTCATTAAGTAGTTGCGTATTACATTGGCAAAACCAATATCACTGGACTTAACTGTAGTAATCACTGTAGTCTGCATACACGAGTGTTTTTCATTCATCTATGAACTTGTGACTTTGCATTTGTGTGAACTGTTCCAGTCACATGACTGGCATTGATAATGAGTTTCAGTGTGTGTATACATTCTTTTTCACAGTAACATTTTTAAATTCTTTCTTTTTTCGCTTTCTATGAATTTTCTAAATTGATTATGTATATATTTTGTCACTTAAAAGTGATGTTCGAATTCATTTGCATAAGTAAAATCATGTAGGTAGGTAACTGGCACCGTTTGTTTTTGTATCGTTTGTTATTTAAAAAAAATCTATGTAACTACCAATTTATTCAAACAAAAAACTGTGCTATAACGTTTATTTAGGGTAAGAAGTGCATTTAAAGCTCACCGTTCATTAAAATTATAGTTTGAATAGCAAACGGTGATTTGTATGCCAAACCTGGTTTCCATCTTTTTTCTAATAGGTTAGAAAAGATGTGTTAAATTTGTTAGTTATATTATATTCAGTGAGGGAATTGAATAATAGGTGTGTGAATACATAAAATAATAATAGTAGTATGACATGCAATTAAAATTAAATGTTAAATGTCAAGTGGTGAAACAATTAATGTCATATGTCGAACAGTTCATAGGATGTATAGAGCTTGGAAGGGGTGTGAAATTATAGGATTAATAGGCAAATAGAATAAAAATAAAAACGCTGCGTAACATTGTGTGAAATTCGATAACATAGAATTTAACATTGCAAACAAAATTGATGTAGAATGACAAGTGGGACGAGTGAAATAATGTCTGGGACAATTTAAAGTGAGAATAGTAATAGTAACAATTGACGTAATAAAGGAAGATCCGTAGCCAAGAAAATACTGTACATGATCTTGGAATTCAAAGGTGACTTAGCTTCCGATATCATTAAAAGCAGGATCTCACAGTCCCTGCTGCATCGTTCAGAATAGCGTTTTCCAGTTGACCATTACTGTTCAATAACCTGAAGGAAAGATCCTCAGTTGACCGACTTTATGTGCGCTTATCAATTCACCTGCTCGTGTGGAGTTAGGTGTATTGATCATTCGACTCGGGTTTTGTCCAAGAAGATACAAGAACACTATCCTGCATGGTTACGAAGAGGTAGAAGTGGAGCTATAAGAAGCAGGATCATTGGACATCTCGTCGATAATGATCACCCTATCTCTACAGCCTCCGCCTTTGAAGTCATCTGCAAGGCGAAAAGTAATTTGCCTAAGTCACCGTGCATCCGGCTCATCTGTATTGCTGAAGCTTTGGCCATCGAAATAGAGAAGTCATATTTCTGGATACAGAAAAAGTCCTTTCAACCCCTCAAACTTTTATGGTCTTAATCCTTCTGTGCTAAAGTATGATAATCCCTAATCATATTTCCGATCTACTTAATTTTCGTTTTGTTTATTCAGTTCGTATACTGTTCCTCTATTATGTCAACTGTTACTATTACTATTCTCACTTTGAATTGCCCCCAGGATTATTTCACTCGTCCCACTTGTCATTCTACATCAATTTTGTTTTGCAATGTTAAATTCTGTTATCGAATTTCACACAATGTTACGCAGCATTTTTATTTTTATTCTATTTGCCTACTAATCCTATAATTTCACACCCCTTCCAAGTTCTATTTATTATTTTATTATTCCCTTGGGTTCCGAGTGGAACATAGGGCTTCAACTATACATCTCCACTTTGTTCTATTCTCTGCTGTCGTCTTCAGCTGGGTCCACGATTGATCACAACCTCTCATCTCCTCGCACGATCTCCTCAATGTCACCGTCTCACTGACGACCCACTCGTCTCTTCCCATTGAGATTCCACTCAAGCGATGGTTTGGCGCGCGATGTCATTCGACGGCCTCCTCAATGTATGCCCGATCCATCTCCATTTCCTCTTACATATTTGTTGAGCTATCAGCTCTTGGTTGGTTTGTTGCCTCCCAGAGTTTCTTGTTGCTAATTGATTCTGGCTGGCCATTTGATCTTCAGTATGGAGCCGGCGAAGGCAGCTGTTGATAAAAGTCTGTAACTTGTTAGAAATGCTTTCTGTGATACGCTGGCCAAGTTTCTGACCCATATAGAAGAACTGACTGATTTCACATTTGTGTTGAAAATCCGAATCTTGTTCTTTATGCTGGCTGAGCGCAAAAGATTTCCAAACTGATTTCAGGTTGATGAAGGCGTATCTTGCCCTTCCGATTCTGACTAGCTTTGACATCTTCACCCGTTCCTCCTGTAGTTGAAACGATGCTTCATACCTAGATAAGTGAAAGAAGTAACCTCTGTCAAATCTCCCCCGTTGGTGATGATTGGTGCTGTTTGTTGTCTCTGTTGTTTGGTTACCTTCATCACCTCCGTCTTCTCTATGTTGATCTGGAGTCCTGTCTTCGCTGCTTCTTCAACGAGTTTGTTAGTTTTCGCCTGCAAGTCTTCGAGATTATGTGACATTAGACATAAATCATCCACACGCGAAATCCACATCTTCTAGAGTCTTATTATCGGTCGTCCACCGTATTCCTGTCTCTTCGCTCCCAATGCACAGTCTGACGCATAGTCCAATCCACCGCAATTAAGAATATCATCGGTGATAATAGACAGCCCTGTTTTACTCCTGTATTCACTTTGAACGCCTCACTGAGTTTCCCGTTCTGGATCACCTGACACGTGGCATAGCCATATAGGCAGCTGTTGAATGAGGTTGATAAAGACTTGGGCATTGCACACCGTAGTGTTGAATTAATTTCCAAATTACTTCTCGGTCAACGCTGCACTATCGAAGGCCTTTTCGAAGTCGATGAATTTGAGGTAGAGGTTTGATTGCCATTTTATGTTTTGCTCTGTGATGACTATGCGTAGAGTTGCAATTCGATCAGCACATGATTTGCCTTTCCTGAATCCAGCTTGTTCTGGACTGTCGGGATTCTGTATCCAGTGCATCCTTTACTCTCACCAGGATGATGCGACTTGGCGTGGACAAGTGCATGATTCCACGTCTGTTCTTGCAGAGGCCTAAGTCGCCCTTCTTTGGTAACTTGACAAGGTAGCCTTTCTTCCAGTCTGTAGGTACCTTTCCTTCCTTCCAAACCTTTTGGAGTAATGGCGTGAGCACATCTGCGGCAGTCTGGGTCGGTTTTCCGTTCTTCGGGATGGGGGAATTCCCTCTGGTCCTACTGCCTTCCTGGCCGGTATCCAGTAGCTTGATCGCATTCAGTATTTCTACTTTTCTTTGGGGATGGTTGTTCACTGGCAATTCTGTACTTTCTGTTGGTGGTGGTATTTCTGGGAGAGTTGCCGGTGGTGGTTGACTCAAGTCTTTTATAGTGATCAGCCCATTGTTTGATTTGTTTCGCCTCCTTGGTAATTAGGTTCCCTTGAATATCTTTTATTGGTTTCATCATCTGGGTTGATCTCTTCCCGGATAGGGACCGAGTTCTACATACAGCCTATGAATTGTTCTATGTATGACATTAATTGTTTTGCCACTTGACCATGATAATAATCACAAATACTTTATTTGTGATTGCATTCATATTATTATTTTGTGTATTCGCACCTATTATTCAATTCCCTCACTGAATACAATTTCCCAAAAGCCATATATAATAATTAATCTCATTAAAGTCCACATGACGAAAGAAGCTGTTAGTCAAATATCTCTCAAATAGGAAGATTTCACTGCACAAATAGGCTTGTGTTGTATGAAAAATGAAACGAAAGACAAATTACTAATCAAACAAAGCTTTTCACACCGTATTTTGGTAGCGTGTAGTAAAAAGCTTGTTCTCATCATTTTGAATAAACGGTAGGATTGTTTTTCAGTGTATTTTTCGTTGGTTGCGGTGTGTGCTACTGATAAGATTTATCAGTAGTATATATATTTATGTTCATTAGCATAAAAATATCAAATAGCAGGGAGATAGATTTGACGTCAAATACTGCAAATGATTCAGCGTTGTGGGGAAACGAAAAGAAGACAAAGAAACACATTCGAAGGACAGAAGTAGCACAAAACGGAAAATATGTGCGAATGCCGATTTGAGGATAAGATGTACATAAAATCACCATATAGAGACACCAAATTCCAAATAAACATTCCTTTACCAAATCTCTTGTCTTCTACAATTATACACCGGCATCCATTAGAGAATGATTGTAAACCAAGTGGTATGGAACATCTGTTTTGTCCTACTTCTAGACTCTTATGTAGTGGAAATCTGTTATCATAGCGGGGGTCGAAACCCCATGGTCTTCAGAATAGGAGTTGAACTTGTTGATCATTTACCCACTGAGTTGGAGATCATTGGTGCATGAATTCAAACTTTTGTCACTTTGCGGTATGAATTTATTGCTCATAGATGCCACTGATGAGTATCCGCTTTACTATGTCGACGATTCTCAAATTAATGTCAGTTTGTTGACGAAATCTGCTTTTAGATTATTGAAAATCCCTACAACACCTGAAATTTTGAAGATTGTTTTTTTACTAAGACTCTGCTATTTATGCCATTATATTTATTGAAGAAATGGTAAACTGAAAGTTTAAGGTATACTAGTGCATACTGGATAACGACAAAAGATCGTTTATTGAGAAAGTTAGGAGATGCTTATAGATTTTTATGTACATTATTATTCGTTATTGTTAGCAGAGAAGCAACGTCTTCTGATTGGTTTTTCTTGCTAAAGGTTATTCTGTACTGCTTGTCACCGTTGGTTACAAAGTTGTCCATATATCTGCTGATCGTATTTGCTCACTCTAAGTCTGCTGTGATTGGTTTTTGAATTCCTCAAGGTTAGGCTTTGTTCTTGTATTTTCTCATAACCCCGATTCGGGACGTAAACATTGACGTCACTTGTTGTCTACAATTTTGTCTTGCAGACAGCTCTCACCACAAGTGTATTTTCCAAAATGATCTCATTCACAATCAGTATGCAAGCATTCCGTACACTATACTCATCTTTGAACTTGAGTCAATGAAAGCTTACTAGTCACTCGTAAAGTGTCCATGTTTTTTCTTCCTGAAAAAAACTAATAAAGCTGTTAAAACAATTAGTCCCTTTGATAAATTTGAATAAGGCATTAAGAAGCTGTGACAATTTGTTTCTACATTGCGGATAAATGTAGAAATGTATGTGAGCTTTTGCATTCGGTTACAGTCAACTGATTTGCTTTTCAGATGTAAATATTTTGTCGCAGCTATTCCAGGTATAAAATATGCAGAAGATTGTAACTGCGTTTGATTAGTCCTCCATTAGTTAATGTCAGTTATTATTAATTAACATGAATTGCAGCGTGTTAAATGCTATATAAAGGTAGGTATTACATGTTTCTTAATTAATCCATCATTAATCATAGATGTTATCGTTTTATTTATTAGCTTACGGCCTATAGATGTGGAATTCATGCGTCGACTTCAACATAAAGTGAATATTGTCCCGGTGATAGCTAAAGCCGATGCTTTAACTGCAAATGAATTACGTGCATTCAAAGAACGCATTATGGCAGATTTTGATCGTTACAAAATTGATATTTATCGTCTACCAGAGTGTGATAGTGATGAAGAAGATGAAATTAAACGCTTAGATAAAGAAATTAAGGTTAGTCAGTTAGTTGTTCATTGATTACCTGGTCATATGTCGATAAACACTACTTATACTGAAGGTTCTATATGTGCTTTATGTATTTGTTCAAAAGTAATTCGTAGGAAGGTAATACTGAACGATATCTTGTTATAATTGAATTACCTGGAACAGATTTCTCATGTATCAGGTCAAGAGCTACACGCGGGATGTGTGAGAGCTAATGATACTACTTAGTTGCATAGGCTAAAGTAGATAGAGCGAGATTTGAACCCAGTAGCTATTTGGCTGAATGTCAGGTACTTAAGCCAATACATTGATTGGACACTAGTAACTAGTGTGATGTGTCTAGTCCTTTGTTTGGTGCAAACTGAATTCCGTCAGTCAGGTTTGCAATGTGGCCACCATTCTAGGTTGCTCGCCATCACGGTGCACATTGATTTGATGATATTAAATGGTTGGAGGCAATCGGCAGGAAGCCTTGGACCTAGGTTTCGTGCTAGTTGGCACTCACCAGTCAGCAAGGCGCATCTGAAACCTTGAAGGAACTCATGTTCTTTCTGAGATTTGAACCCGCATTACCCAGTGCCGCAGTCAGAGACGCTACCAGTGAGCTGTTCACGCTCGCGACTGACCTCCTGTTGGACGGTATAGGATATTTTGACTGGACACTAATAACTAGTGTGATGTGTCTAGTCCTTTGTTTGGTGCAGACTGAATTCTATCAGTCACGTTGTCAATTTGGCCACCATTCTAGGTAACTCGCGGGTTTGAATCTCAGAAGGGACTTGAGTTCCTTCAAGGTTGCAGATACGCCTTGCTGACTGGTGAGTGCCAACTAGCACGAAACCTAGGTCCAAGGCTTCCTGCCGATCACCTCCAACCATCTCATACTTAAGCCAATGAATAACATCTCCAATATTCAAGAATGTACAACGATTTTCAAACTGTTTTCGATTTACGTAACGTGCTTTTTTAATGACTGCAATTCATTCTTTTAATAAAGATGTTCACAAAATGGTCATTTATTTGATAGAGATAAGAAATCCGTACTTTTGCATAGATTTACTGATAAAGCAGTTCACTTTGTTGCTTCCTTGTAGCTTCAAAACCTTGGAAGTTCACTCCTCTTCACTATAGACAGTTTTATTGAACAAGTTACGTTTCGTTCAGTTAATATATTATTTTGTGTTTTATAGATGTCTGAATGAATATTTTTGCAATATTATATACTTATCAATAAATACTGACATGGATTGTTAAAGTATTAGTGTGATAATCCTCCGCATTTAGATAATTGCTTTCTGTATCGCATTTCTGGCTGCACTTATCGGCTGTAAATAGTTCTGTTTTTTTTTGAGTTTCTTTTGACATTTTCATTTTTGCTTTATTTTCCTTTAGGCTGTTCTGCCTTTTGCTGTAGTTGGCAGTAACTGTGTTATTGACTTGGATGGTAGTCGACGAAGCCGTGGTAGGCAATATCCTTGGGGATCGGTGGAAGTAGAAAATAGTCGTCATTGTGACTTTAGCAAATTGCGCATATTTTTACTGAAGTAAGTGCACTACTTTGCAAATAATCTACCCTGTAACAGGTATTTCAGCTTCGGTATTCTTGTAGATAAAATTGTTTTTTTCTTCCGTATTTCATCAAAAGCCAATGCAATGATTAGTTAACCAAGATTATTTCTTTTCGAGAACCTCCTCTTCTGATTCTACTGTTAGACATTCCTATTACTTGTAGAATTAATGCATATCAACTAACTGGTAAAGGATTTTTGTAACAACGAAACACCTATGATGTTCTCATGTAGTGCAGCACAAATCACAACCTGTTCTATTGTGCACCTATTACTTCAGCAAAACATCAAAGCAAGCTAAATCCAAGACTAGCTACTGATCTACCAGAAAATATAGAGGAAAATTGATGACACTTACAGGACACTATGGAAATGTTGAGTGTATTCGCTTGAAACAATGAAGAAAATCTTGCTAAAAACATTGGTTCATGTCAGTGCATTGTGATACCTTGACACCGTTCGGTCTGCATTTAGCTACTATGTGTATGACCATGCGGTGTTTACAGAAACCCACAAGGCTTGGTTGTGAGAGCGTTCAAGTTAATCGGAGGCAATAGCCTCTGAAACATAGGTCTGTCACAACATATGCTAGCCACAAGTAGTGAGGACACACTGGTGTCATTGGAACTGTTAAAAACAGAACATTTCTAGCTTCTTGACACATATAACTCACTAGTAAAGGGAATGAAATTTACATTTGAATCGGAAAGTGAACAAGGAGAATTAGCTATGTTAGATTGTAAAATAAAACGAATAGAAGAAGTAGACTGCACACTAGCGTTTATAAAAAAACAACGCATTCCAATAGGTATTTAGGCTTTATTTCATCTCATCCGTTAACTGTTAAGGCAGGCTTAGTTAAGTGTCTAACAAACCGAGCAATAGCACTAAGTAGCACAACAAAAAACCTAAACGATGAAATGAAACAGATAGAAGAAGCGTTGGTGTCAAATAACTATCCTATAAAATTCATTAGGAATATCAGAAAAAGTCAAAAGCAAAGTAAAAATAATGGGGAAACTAATACTGATAACATAAATAAGAAAGAATGTAAGGAATCTACAGTTTTACCATATAAACAGGGGACATCTGCGACTCGCGTAGGATTCTTAATAAAGCAGGAATTAGGGTGGCATTCAAACCTACAAACTCACTCACGCAGGAGTGCTTTGTAGGTTAAAGGACTCTGTCGCCTCAATTACACGTCGGTGGCACAGTAGTTAGGACTCTCGCCGACCATGCACATGGAGCGGGATTCGATCCCCTGCTGACGCACACCTGATATCTATGGTCGGCCTGCCAAATTTGGGCTACCGATATCACATGCTGAAAATTCCATACCTCTACCAAAAAATACGGTGTGGAATCAAGCTGTAATCAAAAATCGAAAAAAATAAATGTAATTTACAAAATACCTTGCAGTAACTGTGAGGTCAACTACATAGGTCAAACTAGTAGATCTGGGATAGTCAGATTGTCAGAACATAAGAATTTAGCTAAGGTAAGAATGGTTGACCCCGCGAAGATAAGTAATTTAGTAAAAAGCTCAGCAATAGCACTGCATGCATGTGTGTTAACACAACCACACAATAGGCTGGGAGGGGGCTAAAATTTTAAGAAGTATTATAGTTAGGTGGAGAGAGAGAAAGGGGTTGATTACTGAATCCTGGTTCATCGAATCTACACCCAACACATGCAATAGGAATGATTCATCACTCATACCCGGCCAGCCTATGGATTCTAACTCCTACCAATTCGTGATGTTGGTCCTGGGTTTTAACCCCAGTGGGTGCGTACTGCCGATGATTCTCAAACTAGGACGAAACAGCTGTCCAGTACTCAATGGTTCTCTAACCGATATCAATCCGTGATCAACTCGTAAAAAACAAAACTAATCCTTACGTACCAACCATAAAATATATATATATATATATAACTTGAGTTCATGCTTCCTATTGCTCAGTCTGTGGTCAGCTGATGTTTATCAGTTATTCTTAGTTCTTACGGTAATATTTATCCAAATGCCTCACATGCAGCTGTTTGTCGGTATTCAGTCGACTAATGCACTGATATAAAACTGACAATTGGTTGTCGAATTCTTAGAAACTCCGCCCCATTCAGAAATTACAAGTTGTGTGTTCAACAAGTATATTCATAAGACAAGATCTTATGTGGTTACGACTGTAAAGGTGTCGGAAATACGATTGATAATATACTGTAGATATTAGAAATAGTATTTTATAGTTTTGGACACATTCTCATAAGTACAGTGTGCTACTCTGTGGATTCGAATCGTTGGAACAGTTTGCACAACTGACATTTTCTAAACTCTCGCTGAAAAAGGGAATGCGTAGTCACCATAGATGGAATTATTCTTTGCAGATTTCTTAATTCTGTTACACCCCATTACAACAAGTAAGATGAGTTCGTTGTAGAATCTCAATTTTTGGTTTGTTGGTAAACTGCTTCTGATAAATAAATGTGGAATGACACAAAGGTCAATAAAGAGTTGATGAACGTTTTGCCGATCATTGTATCGCTACACTTTTTTGCAATTGATATTTGTGAAAACTGACCTCCTATTAGTAAAACAGTTTCTGGTTACTAGTTATAACAATCAAAGTAGGGAATTTAGTGTCATTTGTTTATGTTGGAAGTAAGTAAACATTTGTTTGCTAGTGGAAATTTGAATATCCGAATGAACGAAGAAAAAAACTGGATTATTTCTGCTGACATTTCACTGTCTCCCGATGCTACGCTAAGAATCTGTATTACTCCGAAGATAAAGAGGTACATTACCGTATATTAATGCACCCAAACAACCTACAGGTAGTGGGATTCAGTTGGGGAAGGTGTTTAGGTTGTTTGAAGGAGTCTAATTATCTCCCATATCATTTAATTTTGAAGTGTGCGCAGGTGAGATGTGTTGAATGAGGAGATCCCATATTTAGAAGGTCACCTGTCAGTAATTGATTTTCCATTGTTACATGAGTTTTGGTTGCTTGTGATTGCATTCTTGACATTGTCTTAACAAAGTCCGTACTGTGTATACTGTTTTATAGTAGTCGTGGTACTGGTCGGGGTGGGGATGAGAAGCCAACTGATGGTGTATGTGTGATGTGAGGCTGTATGACGTAGGATAAACGTGTTGCTTGTGTGTTTATGCTTGTTATTGGATTGTGGCTGAGTTACGGATTGAGTGATTCTGAGAATTGATTGTTGTAATCCTGAGAGTCCCATCGAGTTGGGCGATTCCTCTGTGCATGGCTGAAATGGACTTTTCCTGGATTGGTGTTGTGTTTTGTTGTGACTACTCCTAAGTCTATGGGCTAATCCCATTTCAGCTAGCACTGTACCTCGAGAAAGGTAGTGACTCAGCACGCGTAGCGTCTGTTCTAGCCACTCTATCTAGTGGAGCTGCAAAGTCTTAGTAATTGAATTTCTTTCTTCTCCAACACTACATCTAACATCATTGTTACTTATCATGTTGTTGCACCTAATATGGGCAACTGAAAGAGGTCATTCTTTTCGCCATTCTGTTTATATCCCTTAGTTTCGGCTTTTGTTTCAGGTGTAAAGCAAGACAGAACAACCATTTGATGTAGGTGAACTGCATTCAATTCATACTCACATTTCAACTTATTTTCACATGTCACCACCTTTTGAGTTATAGAATTAGCTCCCACTGCTTGTAACTTAGTCTATATTCCATTCATGCCGATGTTAGATGACGCCATATTGTTGTGTAACTACTGTATAGCAATTGAAGTGTTCCTTAATGTACGCTGCCCAAAATCCATGTCATTTCTGCTGAGAAGTTATTGAAGTTCTATCCCTCTTGGAGTATATTTCTCTTACCACAGATTATTTAACCTTTCATTAATAATCCCAGGTGATTGACGGGTATTACTTTTCGGTGATGCCTTTTCCATTCCGCTACTTTGTTTCGTTGTTTTTACTCCTTATTGTCTTCCAGATTTTAGAAGTCCTCACTAGTTTTCATCCATGTCTCCACTCTCTTGTTCATTTGTATTCTTCGCAGTCACATTGTTTTTCTTTCTGGGACTTGGAAAATTTAAGTGATGCATTTATGTTCAAAGTTACAAGTTGATAAATAAGTCTTTCAGATGTTTTCACTTCCCAAATGGTACTATAACAGTGTACATCTGCACACGATCTGAATATGGATATGAACATATGTGAAAACTTGGGCACTGTGGTAGTATAAAATTCCATGGTAATTTGTTTACTAGATGTATCACACAGTGACGTTCCAAACACAATTTATTGTTTATAATCATGTCCGTAACGTTATCCAGTAAATAATGCTGTTTTACTGTTTGATATATCTAGTAAACAAATTGACATGAATATGGATATATTCAGTTTCGTGCAATGCGTCTCTTTTCTGTGCTTATTTTTGTGTATCTTCGAGAAATATTGAAATTATTCAGCTAATGTTTGATGTGAGCTAAACACATGTCTTGTGTTCATTACAATTTTTATAATATATACAATAAAAAAGTGTCAAAATGTTATATACTGACATCGATCGAAAGATATAGTGGAGTTTTAGCAATTCATTTTACTTGGGCCAGCCTTTATTGATTTTACTTGATCTTTTATTTCATGGCGTAACGGTTGAAGACAAGAGACTTGATAAAGGAATGTTTATTTGGAATTTGGTGTCTCTATATAGCGACTTTATGTACACCTTATCTCCAAATCATCATTTGCACAGATATTCTGTGTTGTGATACTTCTGTCCTTCGTATTGTGTTTCTTTTTCTTCTTCTCGTTTCTCCGCAACGCTGAATCATTTGCAGTGTTTGACATCAAATCTATCTCCCTGCTATTTGATATTTAATGCCGATGGACGTGTCTTTATACACTACTGATAAGATTTATCAGTAGCACACGATACAATAGTATTGCTTTGTTTGATCATTATTTGACTACTTTTCCAATAAATAATCAACCTTTCCATGATTGATGATCACATGTTTTTCGAATTGTTGTTTTCATTTTTTAGAACACATATGCAGGATTTAAAGGACATGACATTGGATGTTCACTATGAAAATTATCGAGCGAAATATATCACTGAACGAATGTCCAAACGCCACAACGATCGTCGTGATGGTGCTGTCACTGGAGCGTATGTGATATATAAGATTTATATATATATATATAAGAAATAATTATCAGATATTTTGTTTAAAGTTCAAAGTAAATTTATTTTATTCGGTATATTAATGACTAATTGGTAAGACCTGTCAGTGTTGCTTGGTTGCGACACAAAACGCACACTTGAAGTTAGCAAATTAACATTCCTTTGTGCGTTTCAAATCATTCCTTATATGGTAAAGTGAGAAATATTTAACTACCAATGCAACTTTACTCACGTAATGAAAATGAAAAACAGATTTTAGTCTTGGCTTCCATTTATGTTGTTTTTCTGCAAAAGATCTGATATTAGGGAACAATTAATCTAACCAGTTGAAATCAACTGGGTTATTGCAAAGCACTATCATATCAATATAGCGTTTTGATGTGAATAAGCAATGTCAATAAGTGATCTTGCTTTCTGTTATTCACGTGCTATGCAGAACGGCAACCTTATATACAGTTTTTATTCGTCCTTGTCTATACAGCTCTTCAGAAAACTGTATAGATAAGAAAGATATCCCAAACCTAACTGAAAATGTTAAAGTTTTTTTTCTAACTGATATTACATCTCTTCATACATACAGATTGTTCGTCGATGTTTTAACGCGTAAGTGCCTCTTTAACATCATTCTAGTAAAAACTTCGTCTTATAATGTAAATTACTGTAGTTCTTAGTTTTACTGCCATTAGTCAGGTGCTCACCATGTTACCTAACTCACTCATTACCTTACATTTAAAAGGAAATTATCTAAAATAAAAAACGCTGAAATTTCTGTACTGTGTTCAAATGTTGTCAGGAATAAAGCTTTATTATTATTATTAGACTACTGATATATTACTGAGTAGCATAGTGAATCTAAATCAAATTGTCACCCTTCAGGTAATTCAGGGTGTAATAGTAACCTGCCGGAATCAGGCTAATTCCAACGCAGATTTCTTCACAAATCTACATCACTTAGAGAGTCTTTGCCGGTTAGTTAGCAGTTCTTTCTTCAGCTGTTCACGCCCTGAACCAGTTTACGAATCAAACATGGTTGCCACTCAGTTACTGGTTGGAATCGAATAACCGATGAATTCCACTCTATTCCAATCCACGTCATGGAGTTATGATTAGAAATACCTGGCCAAGTCCGTTGAGGTGGATGTTAAAGAGAGTGTTCGCCGACTGTATTGACTTGGGCTGGTTCTGTTTTGCAAATGCTGAAGTCATTTATAGAAGTGTCTCCTAAACTAATGCGAAACAGCTGTCCATTGCTGCTTTGTTTATTGAAGGATCTCTAAATGTTGGTTGATGACAAAAGCTCTATTTTATGATAATAATTGAATGTTACATATCATCTGCAAACTATTCGTTTCCTACAACAGTTGCACTTCTGGTGTGAGGAATAAACTTCAAAAGCACATACCACTAATTTCATTTATCACTGTTCACACTTTCTTTTCGTACTTGCTTGTTACAGATTAGCAAGACTGGAAAAAGAAGGTGGTGCTAGCTTTGAGGCTATCGTTGATCAAGACAGTTTATTAAAACAAAAAGAAGAAGAGGTTAGTATTTCATCTGATCAAATATGATTTTTTTTCTCTTATTATATTTGTCGCTTCGGTGTTTCATTGACTGATATCTAGTGACAGAGATAGTTGTGTCACTACAAAAGGACACCATTTCTCCTGACAAGTTTTTGATCTGTGAAAAAGGAAAATTAAATATGCACCAGATTTTTTGTTTGAAATAGATCATACACAACAGTTGTCTCAAAATAAAGAATCAATTAAAAAGGTGTAAGATGCTTTAAACTATAAATGATTGAAATAGTGCATAATTCGTTTTCAGAAGAACTAATCATCCTACTGTAACGACAGAAGGCAAGAGTCAGGCAACAGATCGTTTATTAAGGAAATCAACACATATTTATAGATTTTCACGTACATTATTCTAGATTATTGTTAACAGAAAAACACAGCCCTCTGATTGGTTTTTTCTCACTAAAAGTTAATCTTTCATCCTTTTGTGGCTGTTTCTTGAATGTCAGATCATCTATCTGCTAATTGTATCCGCCTACGCAAAGTCTGCTGTCAGTCTTTGTTCTTGTTTTCACATGACTAATATTTGGGACATAAACATTGACGTAAATTACTGTCTACCAATTTGGCTAGCAGTCAGCTCTCACCACACTACTAGTTGTCTGTGATGCAAAGCTTACGAATAAACGATTCAAACCACTAAAAATTCGTCGAATTTTTTCAATAACACTGAGAGTTTTCGGCAATCAAACAGCAGTTTAAATAAAAATTCTTATATATCAAATGAAGGTTGCCAAATGTGTGAATTAACTCCAGCTCACTGTCTGTCTGTCTGTCCGTTTTCAACATAGAACTTTGCACCGATGTGCTGCAGTTCAAGTCACCACACCCCATATAGCAAACAAAACAAAAGAAGAAAGCAGAATATATATGCAAAGTAGAGACAGCAGACTCCAGCTTAGTGCCTGAAGCTGGTGTCCGATCTATATGGACATAACTATCTCTCTGTCTGGATTCAACATAGAACTTGGCACCGAAGTGCAGCAGTTCGAGTTGCCACGTTCCAAATAGCACACAAAGGTAGACAAGAAAATGAGTGAAGAGAATCAATAGAGTTTTGACAAGTATAAGAGTGAAACAGAATGAGTAATGGTAGAAATGAATATGAAAGATTACAGAGACTGAATACATCTGCGTAAGCCATTGACAACGATTTTGAGCCATGTCACCTTTTGTCTCCAGCCATTGATTCTTAGAGTCCCGAGGGCCCCAACCCGGAAGTCTGCATCTCCCTACCTGACTCAGTTTAACTGTCAGGGATTTCATGGATTGATGCCATACCCAATTCAATACTATGATTCAAACAAACTCAGAAAATATCATGCCGGATCGGTCGGGGCCCGGATTAACAACGACCGCGCTTCCTGCTGCCGTGTCACAGGGCAGAGTGATAAATATACTACTGAGACACACCAAATGAAAAAGAAAAAACAAAAACAGGCAGTGTGTGACTGGCCTCAAGCAGTTGTCCCCTTGGGCTCTGCGGTCACGCAACCAACTTCCACGGTGTGGGCAGCCGGGAAGTAACAATCGCCCTCACAATTCGAAGTGCACGCGAAACCTCTGTAATCCTCACTCATCTTTGTCTCCATCTTCATCTCTATTATCCTGCCTTCCTTCTACTAATGCAACTCCTCTACTTGATATGGACATAACGTAAATTAGAGGTCTGAATAAAAGCTCTACTGCCACGTATATTGTTTTTTTTGTTAGTGTATATCAGTAGCACTATGTTTGCTTTTAATATTATTTTACTTTAGTTAAGTCAATTAGTTTCTTCAGGTCATATCAGATTTTGCTTAGAGTTATATATAATTTGATTTTAATAGAAGATAAGGAATGTGTTTTGTATGCGTAAAATATATTTTCTTTCTCTCTTGTCTGTCTCTTTAGACAGTGAATAAACTCTCCAGTTTGGTTCTTTGTTATCAGAAGATTTCACGTCCATACAGAATTAGTTATACATGACCTTTTTAATTATCAGAGTATTTTGTTCTTATAATAATGCTCATTAGTGCATATATCATTTTTCTTTTATGAGATATGTTCGTTATCGATTTCGAGATATTCTGTTTCATCTTGGTGGTAGTAGTGATGAATGTGAATGCATAGTTAAAGGTGTTGAATAGACTATACAAATTTCACTTTAAAAGTAAAGGGTAACTTAATCATAACTTTGCACTCTCTAATCGATTAGAAAAAATAAAGTCTTACAGATACGATATGCTAACGATACTACTAATATCACTAAAATAATCGTATAGTTCAAGTTACTAATCACAAATAATGATGTACTTTTGAGATGCTGCTGCCTAATTTTTTCATAATAGTGTAATTGGGAAGGATATACAAAATAAATAGGGTCAAATTAGAGATGGTAATTATGATAGTTTAGCACAGGTGGATTAAGACCATGAAAGAAGGAGTAGTAGTTGAACAAACGTTTTCTGTATACAGAGGTGTAGCTTTTCCATTTTCGATAGCCCAAGCTCCAGATTAGCCGGATATGTAACGATTCGAGCAGGTTATTTTTCGCCTTGTAAGGTAATAACTGTAGAGAAAGAGGCTGTAGAAGTAAGAAGACCAGTAGAGACCAGATGTCCAGCTATTGCACTTCTTATAAATATTTTAATGCGTAGTTTTTTTTTTCATTTATGTAGCTTCAAAGGATGCAACAACTTATGAATAAAATGCAAGAGCAATTGAAACGCAACACAAACATTGCTTTGAATGCAACAGCCGGGATAAATAATGGTACAAATAGCATTCAGCCTTCTGCAGCTAATCCACAAGCATCATGAAGACAAACAAACACATCGACAAATAAGGTGTTGAAATCTCTTCTTATCTATACAATATGGGATGAAATCGGTCAAAAAAAACAAACAAACAGGAACTACTTCCAGTATACACCTATAACCGCTTTTATTTTCGCTTCTTGTCGCCTATAATTTTGCTCCAGTGAAAATAACTGAAATCTTGTTTTATGTTTGTTGATAAGACTTATTGAGTTATTTGCTGTTTTTTTTTTTACTGCATTTGCATTTCCTTTAAGCTTAACTTGCAAACTACTAGTCAATCTGTCTTATAATTTTATCTTTTTCGTTGTTTATCATCTGATTTCCATTGTTCACGTACTACATTGCACAAATGGTGTGTAATCATTCAGCAAAAATGTATTATTTACAACTCCTTTTTGTAATGGATAGTTTTTTTCCCCTCAAATAGGACGAGTAATTAATGAGATCGCCTCATCACTACGTGTTACGAGTTTGTATGTTGTGCTAAAATTTTAATAATTTTATATGATTTAATGTACCAGGTTGAAACCTTGGGTTCTCTTACTTTAAGGTTTACTGCTCTAATATATTTATTATAAAAGTTGTGTTGATTTCATGACAGTTTCTAACTTTTTATTTACTGTACAAATAGTGTACGGATGATTGACTGACCGAGTCCTTATGAAGGTGTGTCTACTTCCCGGTTGCACACACCGTGGAAGGTGACCTTTTCTTGAAATGCCTAAAACAGAAGAAGCATTGGATTCGCATGACCATAAAGTCCAACAGACTACTGCTAGAGAGGCTGGTCACACACGGCTTATTTGAAGTGGCATTCTGAGTTGTGTCTATATGAAGATCTTACTGTCGTAAGGTAAATCAAAGTGGACAATTTTCCGGAATGACCTTTTCGAACCACTGCCTCTCCAGCATAGAGTGGCAGCGTAACTGGCTTGCTACAGGATGAAGATGCTTGAAGTTTTTAGTGAGATGTGACCAGTTGGATCTAGCAAGGTGGGTATAAGGACAAATACTCGCCAATGATATAGCTGTTAGTTGTGCTATGTATAGCTTCTGAGCAGAAGGTAGAATCCATAGGCTATTGGATTGCAACCCAGTGGCTGAGTGATCAATAGGATCGCCTCCTAACTCGAAGGTCCTGTATGTGACCCTCGGTGGGGTCATGGGTGTGTATTGTTGACGAATTTCAAATTGGATTGACAAAGCAATCATCTGAAGGCTTAAGATTATCATACTAACTTTATAATAATCAGTGCCAAGATCTATTGGTACATGCTTATTAACTGGATGAGGATTAACTTTTTCATTGGAACTGTCGATAGGGAAGAAGAATGAACTCTTTACATGTCGAAGATACTTGGAAGCAACAAAGCGGATTACTTTATCAGTGAATCTATACGAAGGTAAAGATTTCTTAGCACTATCAAATGTATGACTATTTCAGGAACATCTTTATTTGAAGAATGAAATGCAATCACTGCAAAATCCATTATCACTACCTTAAATTGTTGGAGTAAATTAGACTATATGAACCAGAGAAGATTTCTCAATATAATATTTAGCTTTCGTGCATAACAATAATTTTTTTAGGAAAATAACCAGCCTAGAAATCTGCGCATTTTCATCCTAGAGAACAGCGACCGGTATGTAAGTCTCTGGGATGACATTCGTAGCACATATCCAAGCCACCAAAACTGGTTTTCAAGATGACTGCACTCAATTACTGGTGGCTTCCACTGTGTTCAAACACACTGCTGGATTTCAGAATTATTTACACGATGTTGGCATCAGACGCAAGTAGTTCTGTGTAGACAGCAATGATCGAATATACAGAACCACTGCATATTCTCTTCTCGGAGAGGCCAAGTTTCACAGATATAGAAGCAGGATTGCGCGTGCTGAGACATTGTAAACTCAACCTTTGATGGCGCCCGAATCGGCGTATGCCAACTCAGCTTTCATGATACGGTTGGAAATCTCAACCGTCACACCTTCGCCAGCACTCATACAACTGCGTAGATACGCGAACTTATCGACAACTTCAAGCGCTTCACCAGAAAAGGTGAGTGCATGTACAGGCTGGTGCCAATTTTGTAACAGTACTTTGCACTTAGACGGCGCAAAGCACATAACATACTGATAGACACTGATCGCCAACTGATTAAATGCGATTTGGCCAGCCTGCATGCTATCGCACAGTAAGACGATTTCGTCTCCATATTCGAGGTCGAGAGATCTTTCCACAAAAATCAGGTCTACACTACCACGCACGTCCTTCAGAGGTGACTCCAGAATGTCATCGATGGCAAAATTAAAGAGAAATGGAGAGATTGGACAACTATGTCTAGCCCCACTGTTGGTTGGGAACAGTGATGATAGCTGGTTATATGCCCTCATTCTACTTGGGGAATTTTTGTATAGTGCTTTCAGGATGTTAACAAACTCCCCAGGTACACACCTCCCTAGTAGGTAGTCCCAGAGAACAATTCTGTCCAGCGAATCGAAGGCAGTCCTGATATCAAGAAACACAACGATTGTTGGCCTGTGACTGTGTTTAATAACTAACGAACGGTGCACACAAACTATGAAACAACAATTCCATAGGAGATTGCGATTACGCACCCACTATTACAGACTATAATCATATATTCAGCAACGTAATCCTTTTCATATTTTTTTATATATAGAACTTTGTGTTTTATTTTATATCAGCCTTACAATTTTCGGGGTCTTCACTTTCAACACTTTACTCCTTTGTCTGGAATCTTAGCTTATTTTTACCGTTATGAGTTGCTAGCTGCTACCTTGACGTGGTGGTCGGGCTTGCATGTAGCAATGACCCAACAAGCTACACTGGCTGGAACTATTGTTCTCCTGTAGGTTCTACCGTGCCAGGAAGCTTGTTAGGATAACGACTAGACTAAGAGCAGTTACCGGCATAGTGTAAGATTTTTGTTTTTACACTATGCTGGGGGTCTGTGGGTGAAGTCGTTCTATTGGGGAACAGGGATGCAATAGCAGTAAGTTGTTTCCTTCAGACGACCAGCATGCCAGCTATGCTGTCTCTCCACTCTGGAGAGAGGGGTTTAGAAAAGGTGGACCCCGAAAATTGTACTTCCCGATTTATCCTACGGTAGTCCGTAATCAGCGGTAAGTTTACTAATACGGAACTAATCCAAGAAACCAGTTCACACAGGCCGTGTCTGACTGGCCTCAAGCAGTTGTCCTCTGAGGTCACGCAACACTAACCTTCTTTCTGTTTCAGGTACCCGAAGAATCACTTCCACGATGTGGGCAGCTGGGAAGTAACAACTGCCCACATACTTCCGAAAGCACACTAAGCCTTCTTGAGCATCATTCTTCTTTACCCACATCGCCTTCATCATCTTACTTTCCTATTACAGTCAGTACCATTCTTCAGGTTACTGAGTCATCTTCACATCACTCTGTGACCACAAACAACGATGAGAGCCATAGAAACACGCCTGACAGCCTCTTAAAGCCACCAAACCAACTTCATATTGGAGCATTCAACGTCAGAACCCTCTGCCAAATCGGACAACAGGCATCACTAGCAAGAACTCTGGCGTCATGAGCCATGGATGTATGTTGTGTTTCGGAGACATACATACGAGACCCGAGTGCGGTTATTCGCTTAACTTCACCCGGCCAACAAGGTGAATCTGCGAAATTCACTTTAAGAGTATCAGGAGAACCCTCAGCTAGTTCGTGAGGACTCGCATTTGTAGGGATAGCTTTGAGTGTTAGGGCAGAAAATTATCTCCTTGACTGGATCCCAGCAGATAGTCGTATGTGTGCAGTCCGTCTGAACGGGTCTGTTAGAAGAAGGAAGGACGACGTTGCCCGTCGTTGTCTTTTCATAGTCTCCGCTTACGCCCCAACCGACCGCAGTTCGGATGAACTAAAGTATGATTTCTATCTGAAACTGTCTAATTTGCTGCATAAAGCAAAACACTCTGATATTGTTGTTTTAGCAGGCGACTTCAATGCCCAAGTAGGGAAGTTGTGCCAGACTGAGAAGTATGTAGGTGGTACGTATGGAGTTCCCTGCCAACGAACCGACAACGGTGATCGTCTTCTTCAGTTTTGCTCAGATAATCATCTGTTCCTAGTCATCACTAACTTTAGGCACAAAGAGAGACACTGCGTAACCTGGCGACCTCCATCACCAAATCAACGCTGGTCTCAGATAGACCACATGGCGATAGGGTATCGTTGGTGAGGGTCAGTAGAAGACTGTCGCTTCCTTTGGAACGCGTGCGTAGATTCCGATCACGCTCTGGTCCGCGCACATTTATGCTCATGGTTAAATGGACAAACAATTATTGGCAGCGAAACAGTTGCGTCCCCAACTAGATCGAGACACTGAGTCCTTATTTAAGGAAGAAATAGTGGAACGAGTATCTGAGGTTGACAGCAGGATTCCTCCTGAGGTAGCCTTGCACAACAAACAGTTAGCTGTAGACACAGCTGGTAATAACGTGAAACCTAAAGTTAGTAAGAGCCATTGGATTTATACCACCTCATACGAACTGATTGACACAAGAAGACTGATCCCAGCAAGCTGCGAATATGATGAGGAGGGAAAGCTACGCAAACGTAAACTAACAAGAAGCCTCCGTAACGACCGTGAACAGTGGTGGGCGACAAAAGCGGAAGAGATGGAAAAGACATCAGCGATTGGTAACTCCAGACAATTTAGGTTTATCAGGGAAACAGGTGGTAAAAGGGAAATGATAATTGAAACAATCTCGGAGAAAAATGGTACCATAATTAGCTCCAAGGATAGACGACTGGAACGCTGAAAAGAACACTTTGAGGAGCAGTTTAATTGGCTTACAGCCACGCTCAACTTACCGAACATCCAACATCCCTCCAAATGGAATATAGGCAGTTTCTCCGTCCCTAACTGAGGTTACTAAGTCTGTCACTAGTCTTAAACGAGGCAAAGCAGCGGGACCTGATGGAATGACTCCAGA